GTGTGTGTGTGTGTGTGTGTGTGTGTGTGTGTGTGTGTGTGTGTGTGGTTGCTGCAGCCTACAGGAGGTATCTACTCCAGACTGGAAGCGCAATTTAAGAGTGTCGCTCAAGCCAGACAGAGTTCAGAGAAGACACCCAGGTACTATTTCTGCACACACACACACAAACACACTCATCATCATCATGTCCCATTCAATAACTCTTCTTTCTCTGTAGATCTAAAATACGCTACGCTCAGATCCGGACCACATAAAGGACCCGATGGGGAAAAGGCTGCTGAGCTGTCTAAGAGACGGACATGAAAACTGACTGAGAGAGAACGAAGAGGAAGAGGAGAGATCCTTCCGCGAGGGCTCAGTGCAACAACATAAATTCCCGCTGGCACCCCCTCCCACCCTTAAAGCACGGCCTCCACTCATATAACCCAGCTGTGGACTCCTCACCCTCGCATTCTTTGTCAGCCCCCCTCCCTCCCTCTGGGCTTCACTCAGGTGACTTCGTTATTGATCACCATCAGCCCGTCACTCAGCTAGCTCCTTATTTGTGCAGCTGTGGTCAGTCCTGGAAAACAAACAAGAGGTCTGGATCCAGCTCAGCACGAAGGGAAATGCACTCGATCAAACTTCTCCGTGTGTGTTTAGGATTTAGTGTTGGAGCTCGGCCAGTTTCTGCAAAGGACAACATGGGAAATGCTAGTTTATTATTTTCTGTCGTCTTCCTGGAAGATCTGAATGATTCGGATCCAGTAATCACCAACAGTGATGCCGAAGGCCGGATAGGGAATGACACGCTCACCACTTCGACGCGGCTTGTTTAGGTTAAGACGCCGATCTAGACACATACGAGTTGACTCTGCACTCGCATTTATGGTCTTCTGGGCAGATGACAGACGCTGCGGTGTGTTGGGGGGGGGGGGGGGGGGGGGCTGGGCTCTCAACTATCAACTTGGCCCAGTTTGACCGCAACCTGTCAGCCGACCCTTTGCTCCAACTTAGATGATGTCAAAGAATTTAACGGGGGTGGAATAAAAAATGTAAATGCTGATTATACTCCTTTCACTGTTTCTTTCTTTCTTTCTTTCTTTCTTTATTCTTTTAAGACCTTAGCGGGCCTTTTAGGTCTTCCCTGAAAGCCTGTTTGGTGGAAACGGTGTGAAAGTCCTGTGCAGAGGGGCTGGTATGCGCCACTGGGTAGAGGGTCAGCCGCTGTCCAGTGGGTGTGCTAACCTGGCTCTTCCTGTCTGACTTACTCACAGGGGTATTAATAACCCGGCCTGCCTACAGCGAACGGAAGGAGGAGGCGTGGAGTGGGCTTTTCTTTTTTTATTGGGTGGTGAAGGGGGGGGGGCTGCACTACCCCAGCTGTCCCCTCTTCTCCTCGACAGCAAATGCCGAGAATGGCTGAGGATCTGGGTCAGGAAGCGTGCGTGCGTGCGTGTGTCCGTGTGTGTCCAGTTACAGCCCGACTGAATTATGGTCCCAGAGGGTTCAGATATTGGAGCATCAAGGCAAACACGTGAACTAATAATTACCAGGAGAAAGAGATGCTGACTCCACGAAACCATGCAGAAAATAGAAGTTGTGTCCCCAATACGAGCGAAAGGCTTCCTTTAAAGGGGGCGTGCAGCGGGACAACCGTTCAGGGTTTTGACCCTAAAACAACAGAAGACTCGCAGCAAACAACTTGCAAACATTCAGTGCCTCGTAGTGGGAACCGCTCCCTCTCCGGTTGCATCGGATGGGCGTTCCAACACATCGGTGGCGAGGCGTCATCACAACCTTTAATGTAATACCAGCATGTTAACGGGGATTAGTGGCGGGGTCGGTTCACACAGCGCCGACCTCGGCCAAAGACGCCGCAAGCGGAAATGTCCCGGGAACAACTGCGCTGGACGACAGATGACACCCGTCGCCGTCGTCGTCGTCGTCGTCGTCATCATCATCTGCTGCCTTTCCTTTTAGGATTTCAGGTCGAACTAAGAATTTTACCAAATTCGTTCAGATGCAGCAAACAATACAAATAGTTCATTCTCGATGTGGATAAATGCCTGAAATAGAAAGAGCAATGCCCCCCCCCATGTCTCAGAGGAAGAACACCACATTAAGCCCTCTGCCAACATGTGGTCAGTTCACCTGCTCCAAACTCTTTTTCAGACTGCAGGGTTTCGACTTCAATTTCACAGATAAGTGTAAGAACGAGTCTAACTTCCAAATCAAAGGTAAAAAAATGAACACATTTTGGAGTCGAGGGTGAAATAAATACCATCTTATAAAAATGAAACAAAATCCGAGCGAAGGCAGGGTTATAAAATTCTCAGCTTTAATCAGTTCAAAAAGTTCACAACAAATGGAACACCTCGAGAAGGAGAATTTGCCATTAGAGATCGGGTGCTTATTTGCATTTATACATTATTTTCATAATTAAACCTAATTTCCTAATTTGCTCTCCGGTCAGAAAACCCCCCAAAAAAAACAACCCTTTTGTTTTATTCGGACTGAACTCAAACTAGGTACAACTGAAATAAAATGCAAAAATACAAAATGAAAAGTAAACCCAGTTTTATTGGTTTTCACTTTGCTCTAAAGGTAGCGTCTTGGAGCACTGCCGCCTGGTAAACAATCTAAATTAGTACAATTCAAAAAATCTCAAAAGCCATCTGAGTTAAACAGGAGTTGTTATAAAGATGCAACCAACTAAGAACCCATAAATACCTCCGCCACTTCCTTAAAACATCCCGTTGATGAAGGCTCACACATGAGCAACAATCCTCTTAGAGGAAAACAAAACGCTGATGTCGACTCGGCGACAGCACACACGCACACACACCCACAACAAAAAAGAAACAATAGAATAAAAAGAAAAGAAAAAAGAAATGTTCCCATGGTATTAAAGATGCTATACAATTGGGATGATATGCACATATTTCGGTTTTGCTTTCCCTAAAAAGAAAAAACCTGCCGGCAGCAGTCACACACGAGCGGGACTCGTGAGCGGCCGATGCCGACACGCGGAGCAGCATCTCTCCGCCTTCATTCATTAATCCTTTAGATTCACATTCTCCCACGATGCAGTGGGGCACCGGATGGCGCGTCCGCCGCTGAAAGACCACTTCCTGTCCGTCACACCACGGGTCCAGAAACCTGCTCAGACTGTATATATATATATAAACAGATATATCAGAAAAAGGGAAGAGCTGGGGTAAAGAAAAAAAGAAAAGAACGTGGGAGGTCGAGGGAACAGAAGGAAAATAAGATGGTTAAGTCTAATCGTTAGAACCTCATCATGCAGGTCTTGGGATGGACCGACAAAACGGAAGCTTCGAGTAACAGTTCTGGAAAGATATTACACAAAAAAGTCTCCATAGAAAACGCAGATTATGTAAAAAGGGCCACAGGGTGACGCGGTAATCATGTACACGTTGTTGGCATTGTTTTGGTCAACAAACATCCGGTGGGACGGCCCGCGGCCTCCCGCCACACTCAAGTGCGTCTCTTGGGTTCCGTTGTGTTTGCTGTGGTTAGGGTTGATTTGTTTGTTTGGACTACTGTACAGTCTGACGGCGCCGCGGCTCAGTCACACATCTCCTCGGGGATCTCGTGCGGGTTGAGGATGCCCGGGACGGACATCTGGATCTTGTGTTTCTCCTCCTGGGCCTGACGAAGCGACGCCTCCCTCTCCTCCAGGAACAGGTCTGAGGTGTCCTCGCCGGCAAACTCCTGGAACGGCAGAACAAGCAGACGCTGTGGTTAGCTCTCAGAACGGCGGACTACAGTACACCGCCATGGATGCATCCTCTCTATCCACTGATCCTAGAGCAGGATCCAACTAACGACTACTTATATTCATCAATTCACTTTACATTTAACTGATTGTTCTCTTTTAGTTTAAACTTAATCCTTCGACAACCAGTCAAGTTGCAACTTTCCGGACTCCGAGGTGACATTAAAATGTCCAAAACACAAATCTATTTCATTTACAAAGATTTAAACCAGTGAAAACAAGCAGCAAACAGTGAATGTTTAGCATTTTCACACAATAAATGACTAAATAAAGGACGAACTGCTTATTAAAATTGTTGACAATAATTCGGATACCAGTGCTTCATTGATAAGCTGTCGATGTCTCACTGTGTGGAAGACACCATCGTTCTGTTATTTGTAAGGCAACATCAGGCTCGACTTACACACAGCATTGTGAACTTTTTACAACAAAAATGTAACAAATGAATACAAATAGATATAAATGTATATCCGACAACACTGAAACCCGATCCAGCGATTTGAGTCAGTATTGGATCTCTACGCATAAGCGATTAACAATCCTGATTACGTCTCAAAGCTCAGTTTTAGCGCTAATTTAAAAAAAATTATAGGCGGGAAAATAACCACAGAAAAAAAATCCATGGAGCCTGACAGCTGAAAAACCACATCAGTCGCCATCATACACCGTTTTATTCCAGCGACAAGCTGACACAGCCGCACACCTTCAGTCCACTTAGCAGAACAACCTGAAATATGTTATTTCTGGAATCGGCAGCCGAGCAGTTCGCCATGTGGAGCCCGATAACCTCTGTGAGCAGAGACAAAGACGGAGGCATGCAGGGCCTTGTTCTGGTTAGTTCAGCTCATCAGCAAACAAAACACACATGGACATATATCCCATTAAATCAGCACCAAGTGTAACTGCTGGTGTTCGTCTCTGTGGTGACACCTAGAGTAGCGGATGCCGTCCAAAGCGACTCACGACTGAGCACGTTGAGCTCACCTTTATCTGCACGAGGAAGTCCCGAAGGTGCTCCTTGAAGGCAGGAATATCCTGGTTTAAGCTGAACAGCCCGGTGACAAACACCTTCACCTGAGCACTGATACACACACACACACAGGGATGTTAATGAAAAGTGTTTGACACAGCAGAGATTGTGTGTGTGTGCGGGTCGGTGTACTCACTCTTGTAGGTGAGGGAAGGCGGTCTTGAGCAGGTTGGCCACGTACTCCTGGATGAAGCCCTGGTTGTTGGTGGGGCTGGACGGGTTCAGCACCGTGGTGATCTTCCCCTCCTCCACCAGGTTGAACATGTAGGCCAGGATGGAGGCGTGCATCGTCAGGCCTGCAGGACACACACACACACACACACACACACACACACACACACACACACACAATTACTGAAGGAACTTCATTTAAACATCATATCGCAAGTTTCTACGACAGAAACAAATGCCGTTTTACTTTTGCTGCTCAGAAGAAATGAATTCAAGCGACTGATTGTGGTGATGTTTTATCTTTGCGTGCTAGATGCAGTATTTCACGCTTCGTAACGATTTATCTCCGATTGGGGTTTCCGCACACATCTTTGCTGTCTGAATGAGAACGCTGCTTTGTCCTCTTTATAGATCTGTAGAATGCAACACTGGTACATATTTCTGTATGAGGCCATAGTACATCAACTGCCTCCTTATTTCTGCTGACGTTAACTATCAGTAGATAATGCAGACAAATTATATTCATTATTCCTGGAACCTGCATCGTTTTTGGTGAAAGTGCTTTTAAAGTTCCTGGTGTGAGCTGCACTTAAAGATGGATTATTTTATCATTATTGAATCATTTGAGCACTGAAGGAAAATCATTTGACCGTTACAATTTGCTTTAAGTCAGTCGTCTCTTTTATGTGAAGTTTTTTTGTTATTTTTGTAACTTCTGTTTGTGTCGCTTATCTGTGTTTTTATGATGCGCTTGTGTTGAACTTTTACGCTGCCATCTTGTAAATCCAAATCTCAATGGGATCATCCCGGCTAAATAAAGGTTAATCCTTAAAAGAGAGCGTTCAGGTGTCCCCACAGCTCATGCCTGTGTGTGTGTGTGTGTGTGTGTGTGTGTGTGTGTGTGTGTGTGTGGACTCACCAGCAGTATGCGATGTGTCGGTGACCACAGAGAAGATGTGTTGCAGGATATCGCAGAAGTACGTCTGGTAGAAGCTCTGCGCGGCGGCTTCCTCCTGGGCCACGTTCTGCAGCAGCGTGTAGAGAATCTGCAGACCTGGACGAGCACAAACACGAGAGCTTCCTCACATCACGGCCTCACAAAAGGTGCATTAAACCCGTACACTACTGCAGCAGAGGGCAAACTTCATCTCAAGTCATAATTATGAGAAGAAAAAAAAAGTCAAAGTGATGAGAAACTCAAAACTACTAGATGAAAAAGCCATACTTATGATATAAAATCATAATTATGAGATAAAAAGTTGAAATTAAGAAAGAGAAAGTCATAAATATGAGTCAAAATGATGTGATACAAAGTCAAAAATGATGACAGGCGGAAATGGGCTTTCATAGCTTTTAAACAAATAGATTTTATCGTGCGATACATTCTGTCCTCCAGACTTGATACAACACAACACCTGGATTGTTATATAACATTTAGTATTCATGCTCCAGGCACTATATGAGCTCAATGTCAACATGAAATATGTGTGTGTGTGTGTGTGTGTAGCCCTACCAGTATCAGCCACGTTCCTCATGGTGTGTTTGAAGGCCCAGATGATGGAGTCCAGCACCAGCTTGAACTGGGCGGGGGGGGATGGCGAGGAACGCGGGGAAGCAGTGAGAGTTCACCGCTTGCAGTAAGTAGAAGAAGTGAGTCCTGTGCTCGGGGAACTCCTCGAAGTTCTAGCAGAAAAATAACAAGTTGTTCAGCACTTGTTCCTCACATGTTGCTCTAAAAGAACATTAAATAACTGCAGTCAAATATGAATAATATTGTCACACTTGCACAGAGTTACATTTCTTTAAACAACATTGGTCCCATCATACAATGATACACTAAGAAAGTTAACCCTTGAATGCCAGTTTGTTTACAACACAGAACTATATAATAATATAGTAGAACATAATAAAATGCAGGATTTTATGCTGGTAGCGGGATCTGGTAGCCAGCGATTCAAAACTTAAAAAGCCCAAAAAGTCCCTAGTGCAGCACAAGGGTTAACTCCTAATATATAACTCTTTATATAACACAGTCTGTTGTTGTTTACAAGCCTGAACTTGCACTTCGGGGAGAGGTTTATATATCGTTTATTCAAATGAGTTGGTGCGGTGCTTTTCTTTCATGTGAAGTATCACCTGTTAGACACGCGTTCCACTTTCAGACAGTCTGACTGTACCAAGTATAACTTAATACATATTTTAGATGCACACAGTAGGTTCAAGGGTGGGTTGCTAAAAAGGGAAACGCAATAATTGCCCCGGGGTCCAAAGCACATTGTGGCCCCGGGCTCCCCTAGTGGATGAATCCGGCCCTGAATAGGTGAGCTTTTTATTTCTAACATGAAAAATAAAGCATGGGATCGTTCTCTGCAGGCTCGGACTGGTCCGCCTCCAACGAGCAGTTGAGCAACCTGAATGACTGACAATTTCTCAACCTGCAACTTATTCTATAATTAATAGTTTTTCATTATATATACATATATATATATACATA